TGACCTCATTGATCCAATTAAACATCATGTGATATCTGATAATCCACTCAACATACACCTTTTAACATAACTCTTTGAACATAACCCAATTTAACATAACTTAATGGAGAATATGTTGCTAGCCATTACTTCTTTGTGCTTATCTGAAGATGCCTGAGGCTAGGGAGGAACAAGGTAGATTGAATACTTGCCCTTGCTGACCTTGTCATTTGAAGGCTGTTACTTTGAATCTTTAAGTAAGGCATAAAGAAACTTCTTGGGCATACAGGAATTTGTGTGCAAACCTCTGCTCTCATGTAGGGCTTAAGTCAGGGGGTTTTTACTGGAGCCTTTTATAAGGAATTCTCAGGCTGGACTTCTCAAAAGCCTTTCATGAGCCCAAGTTTCATCTGTGCCATTAGATACCTGTATGTATTGGGTAAATTCCTCTTCTCTTGAGGTCCTCTAGCACATTTCCATTCCCAGACCTGTCAGCAAGCGACCTTCATCACTTACCACAGATTAGGAAAGGTTACTGATGGATATCTGGCCAGTTTTCCAAAGGCTTTTATTCTTTTTTTTTTTTTCCAGTTTTTGGCCAGGGCTGGGTTTGAACCCGCCACCTCTGGCATATGGGGCCGACGCCTTACTCCTTTGAGCCACAGGTGCTGCCCCCAAAGACTTTTTCATTGGCCTTTTAAAATCAACCTTAATTCCTTAACACAGTCTGGAAATGCTATTCCAGCCAAAGCCTTGGTCATGTTAGGCCCACAACTAACCTGGCCACGTGGGATTCTCCCTCAGTTTCTCACAACTATGCCTGCACCAAAGTCTTTTCACTGCTTTCTCTCAAATGGCTTTTTTGGCCAGAGGCATATAGGTGTTTCGCATATAAACAAGTGAAATCTGTAAACGGTCTCCATAATGGCCAGAGATACTCATCTAAGTAATAGACTGAATGCTCATCTGATTTTCACTAATTGCTGTCAGTGCTCACTTGATAAGCTCTTCGGTGGTTTTCTTGGTTTTGGGGTTTTTTTTTTTTTTGAGACAGAATCTCACTATGTTGCCCTCTGTAGAGTGCTGTGGCGTCACATCTCATCGCAACCTCAAACTCTTGGCCTAAAGGGATTCTCTTGCCTCCGCCTCCCAAGTAGCTGGGACTATAGGTGCAAGCCACAATGCCCAGCTATTTTTTGTGGTGGTGTTGTTGCATTTGTCCTTGTTGCTTTAGCTGGCCAGGGCCAGGTTCAAACCCACCAGCCTGAGTATATATGGTTGGTGCCCTATCAATGGAGCTTCAGGCATTGCCTTAATGAGCACTTTGAAGCTCTTAAGCTTTTAATGGAATCCTTAGTGATTTAAAAATTAAGAAAAAATAGCTCAACCAGCTAAGGCGCCAGCCACGTACACCTAAGGTGGCGGGTTCGAATCCCCAGCCCGGACCCGCCAAACAACAATGATGGCTGCAACC